GGCCCCAGTGGAAAAAAAAGTTCAGGCTTTCCAATAAGGCAGCTTGTCTAAAAATCTTTACATGGGACATAAACTCTGGAGTTGAGTCTTTTTTCAGATTGTGAGCCCCACAATCTTTTTTCGTGTTACCCTCCCTTCCATTCCCTCTTCACCCAGCCCTGGCCCCAGCTACCTTTTCTCGTAAGTGACCTTTGAAACTCAGGCTGCACAGAGATTTGCTGAATCAGCAGGACCAACTGCTGTTTCTCTTGCTTAGTTTTGGGCCAGTGGGAAAATGTGCCAGGATGCCTTAGTGAGGCCCTATGGCGTTCATTGTGTGCGTCTGGGAAGAGCTTGGGAATGAGGAAGGAGGGAGCTGGTGTGGAACTCATGGAGGCTGGTAAGGAGGAGGGAGACAACCAGTGTTTCCCAGAGACCAGAGGATGACTTGGCTCTCTTAAATGCATTCCTTTTGGATGGAAGGAAGGGAAGAGCAGTGGTCTAGGTGCTCAGAAAGGCAAAGGGCCGCACATCTTTGCAAGTGGCCACTCTATGCCAGCTTCCTGATATAAACAAAAAGACGCACACTCCCTCCCCAAAGTGGGCCTTCAAGCTGGCCCCAGTTTCTTAGACTAGAAGCTCTCTCCCTGCTGGGGATAGGGGAAGAACTAGCGGATAGGGAGATTGGTGAGCATGGGCCCTGCGATGCTTCCTCAGCAACCAGGCACAAGGTAGACAAGGTCCCTGTGTGTTGAAACTGTCCTCACCTAGTGATAGGGTTTAGCCTCATAGGGAGGGGATTAGGGTGGGAAGAGGGGGGCTGCATCATCAGAGGATGGAATGAGATGCACATGCAAAACAGGTATCTCCACGGATTGAATTTTCTGCCTTTTGTTCCCTTTCCAGCTCTCCTTGCCTCTTGCTATTCCGACATAAACCTTTGAGCTCAATGAAGAAAACCTGCTCTCTGGCTCTTAACGTGATTTGTATACTCACCCTTTTCACCTTGTGCTGTTCTGATAGAAGATTACTCTAAGCAGCTGCAACATGCTTGCACTTGTTTAGACATTTCTAGATATGTGTCTCATATATTTTGAGCAAGGACCATTTGTTTCTTTCCAATCTTTCTACAGAACTGAGTGCAGGGTTTTGAACAGACTGGACACTTGATACATACAGTTGACCGATAGACCTTTATACTTTCTTTCTTAATTTCTTCTAGGATGGGCCAGCTGTGAGCTATCACCTTCAAGCATGCAACCCTGACTCAATAGGACCAGAGACCCCAGTTACAATCAGCATCTTAGACAACTCAGGCTAAAAAGCACATCCAGGAATCTTCTAGCCATACCCAGCCTCCAGTCAGTATGAGAACAGGGAGCTCAGAAGATACTCAAGACTTATTTCATGTTTAAAGGATGTGGGTAGAGAGGAAAGAGATTTCCCTGTGTAGCTTATGTGGAGGAAGGATAGGAGGAAGAGAAGATGGGCGAGAGAAAGTGTTTGAGGGAGAGGAAGAAAGGGAGAAGAGAAAGAAGGAAAAAGGGAGGAAAGGAGTGAAGGAGAGGAGGGATGTGAAAGGAATAAAGAAAGGATATAACAGAGAGAAGACAGGAGCTGTGGAGCCCTTCAGACTTCATAGTCACATTGAGGTGGGGAGCTTGGCGTAGGAGCTGAATTTGAATTGGAACGCAAGAATCTATCCTCCAGCAATCATCTGCGTGTGGCCTTGGAGACATGGACAAGCCCTGCCATCCGAGGCAGTAAATGCATGACTGGTGGGTGGGAAAATGTGCTCAGATGCCACTGAGGCCAGCAGCTTCAGATAAGTTCATGTGCTTCCATGGCAAGAGGATTTGTCAGGTCAAGTTGGGTTTCTGGTGCCAGCCAGGAAAGGGATAATAATAAATTCTGTAGATGCTGTGAGCCTTGATTGAAAAAATAAAGAGGAGGAAGCTATGTGTGCTGCTTTCATTAAGAGGCAAAAGCAGTGGGGGTCAGAGCTTAGCAAGAATCAAGAAGCACGCAGAGAAAGAATTTTAACCCTTCAAATGTTTTTCTTCCATAGTATCTCTGCACTCACCCACTCACAGATTGCTGCTTTCTTGCACTGACCTCCAATACCACCACCACCACCTTTGTGTCTCCCTCAGCTGAAGGAGGGAGAGAGGCCAGATTACATATTAATGCAGATAAAATGGCAATTAAATGTTTCATTATTTCCCAGTCCAAGGTTTTCTAGGGCTTCTGCCTCTCCTGGAATTGGGTAGGAAGAGGGGTTCTGGGATTAAGAGTCAAACTGTGTGAGGACATAATGCACCTACCGGAGTGCCTGGCTTCTGGAAACCCTCACCCACTCTTCAACCACCTCACTGGGGCAGTGTTCTCACTGGAACGAGGCCAGAGGAGGAATGAGAGAAGATTCACAGGAAACACATGATCAGAAGACCTGCTCTGCCATCTCTTCCTCCCGCTTCAGCACTCCCGGTAGAGAACCGATTCTGCAGTGAGCTCCCCAGGAGCAATATCAGAGAGGGGGCTGCTGACTCTGCTCTCTTCCTCCTCACCTCTCCCTATCCTTGGAGATACCTCTCTGACTGCTAGCTCCATCTACTCCTGCACCATAGACAGGTATGGGCAGAGAACAGACATATAAAACAGACCATGGGCAGAGAGCAGGGTAAGACCAAACATGAAATTAGCAGTGATGATTCCTTCCTGAGGTTCTGTGGGGAAACTTGGGTTGAAGTTGGGCAACTATGGGGAAAGAAATGAGTGGTCCAGAAGATATTCAACCAGTCAAGATGACCATGTTTTCACATTCAAGGAAAGAGAGCTGCAGGGAGGAGGGGAGGCAGGCACATCCATGGTCTCTATGTCTCTGGATGTGCAGGCTCAGGGAGCAGGGGAAAAAGCTGGAGGCTCTGGAGAAAGGAAGGCACTACTGTTAAGTGCCAGGGCCAACTTTCTAAGTGAAGGATTCCAATAACTTCCACTCTCCCCCACCATGATAATTATTTCTTATTTTTGTTCTATTCCTTTGAGAGGCAAAAGCGGGATAGGTGAGAAGAAAGGATGAGGATGTCACAATTCCTCTCTGGAATTGACATGTGAGGCTGGACAGGAACCCAGATAATTCCTAAATCTCAGGATTCCTAGCAGGACCAACTGAGTGAAAGGGTTTAGGCACTGTAGATCACTCTGAAGGCCACAGCAATGTCTTTGTCTAAGAAAAATGATCTTTCCTCAACTTTTTGCCACACAGTCCCCTGGAGAGATGCAAAGAAAGTGGAGATGCAGTAGGAGAGAAGGGAAACACCAAAAGTCATGAGGAGAGAAATCATAATGACCAGGTAGCTGTGGCTGCCCTCAGGGAAAGGGACTGGAAAAATTCTTCCCCCCTACCTGGGGAAGAGACCACTTAGTATCTTGGAACAGTGTTGCCTTTTGGTGAACCTTGGGCATTGAGGGAAAATGACTTTCTGCTTTTTATGCCAGATAAGGAAAAACCAAAAATAAAAATGCGAGACTGAGGGAAGTCCAAATGGGCTATTGAGGGAGTTGAGGTAGAAAACTCTATCTTATTGGGGTTTGAATCAAGGGTTTTAAGTCAGCCAAGCCAGATCATGGTAGACCTCTTGGTTCTGATCCATGTACCCTGTGAACTACCCTGCCCTAACCCAACTTCTCTAACTCTACAACAGATGGGAAAACAAAGTGAGTTTTGAAGGAATACAGCAAATCTTCACAAGGATCTCTCAGACTCAAAGCACATGTGCAACTGGATGAAGATGAGACTCCCAGCTCTACTTTCTTCCTCCTTATCCCCTTTAGCATCACTATTTTCAAGGTCAGGTGCTGACCAGGTACAATTTCCCTTGAGCTGTTCTTATTTAGTTCTCCATCACTTGTCTAATCAGAGAAAAGAAGCTGACATGGCCACAGCCTTCCCAGTACAGAAAAGAGAATATCCCAAATGCTTTCATGTCTTCTTCCCATATTCCTAGTTTATGGACCTCATGAGTGAAGAAAGAGCTTGAGGTTCTAGGTGCTGAGAGATTAACATTTCTCTTAGGACCCAAGACAAGATTTCGGTGGTCACCAAATAACCAGGGGAAATAAGGTTTGCAGTTGCTGGCCTTAATGGGGAGATTTAAACAGGCATAGCATCCGAATATCAACTCCATCTGCCTACTGTCCCCCATGTCATTGTTCCCCTTTCAGCAATGACCAAACACCCTGTAGGAAGAACCCTCCTTGAGTTGGAGGAAAAATCTGTAACCAGACTGAGTCCTCGAGCCATGCCTGAGTCCTCCATCGGTTTGATAGGATGGTCCCTTGTGCCTTTTTCAGCTCTATGGGAATTCAGAGCAGAGAATCCTTTCCCAAATGAGCCTTTCCTGGCTATGACTCCCACTTCACCAGGTGAAGAGCCGCATCTTCTCTTCATCTGCCTCCAGCTCCCGTGCTTTCCCACGTCACTCCTGCCTTTCAGGTTTGCCCTCAGTCTCCTGATTTTCCCTCTATCCCAGTCCTACTCTTCCTGGGCCTCAGCTTTCTTAAAGTTCTTCACATGCCTCTTTCCAAGCCTTCATCTCAGTCTCCATTCAAATACTTTTACTACCCAAACTTCCTTCCAAATTTTTTCTCACTTAAAAAGATACCTTCAATGGTTCTCTTCTACAGTTGAATCTTCACTCGAACTTCATCCCAGTCTAACCCCCTGTAAATGCTGTCAATTACTATTATTCCCAATCGCTTAAAACCCACTTCTTTCCTCCTTTGCCCTTACTGATACTTTGGTTACTCCTTTTTGCTCCAACATTCCTCAAAACCGTCTCAGGCATGGGTATCGTTCCCTCATTTTCCCCAGATCTCCTTGACACACTTCTGGCCCCTTCAGGCCACGTCACCCCGGTCTTTTAGACTCCCACGCACCCAATGTCCCTGTCTCTCCTTCACACCCACTTGCTTCCCTTGCTCCCACCACAACAGTGCCCATCTCCCTCTTCCCCGCTCACTCAGGTCTCCTGCTCAGGACGCCCTTGCCGAGGGTGGAGGGGGATTTGTGCTGAAGGAGGGCTCCGGCAGCAGCGCAGCAACTCGGGGGACGTTCCTTCTCCTTGTCAGTCACGGCTCCCTGTGTCCCCAGATGCTTGTGGGGCGACTGGGGTGTGTGAGCCCTGCTGCCAGGGCCCCGCGGCGGCTGCTCCAGGAGCTGTCCGTGGTGCTGAAGCGGCTGCTGCTCGGGCGCGGACTGCGGCGCGGCGGCTGAGCGCTGTCCCTGGTCTTGGAGAGGTTCTTGGGCCCTGGCGGCGGCGGCGGGAGCGGTGGCTGGAGCAGCCGGCGGCTGGGCCGATGACGGAGGGATGAGCCCGGGCGGAGGCTGGGCTTGCAGCAGCTGCTGGTGCTCCCACAGGCTGCGGTTCTCAGCGCTCAGCTCGTCCAGCCGCCGCTCCAGCTCGTCGATGCGCTCTCGCTGGGTGTGGATGAGGCTCTGCTGGTTCTGCACGATGGCTGTGAGCTCCTTCAGGTAGAGCACAGCGCGCACCGGGTTCTCCAGCAGGCTCTCCATGCCGCCCGCCGCCGCCTGCGCCCTGCCTGCGCCTGGGCTGGCGGCGGGGAACGCGAGGGCGCGGGAGCCCAACAGCCCAGTGGTCGGCTCGCCTCCCTCGCCCACTGGCCCAGCCTCCCTGCCGCCGCCGGCGCCGCGTCACCGCCACCCCGACCTTCACACACGCATCGCTGGGCGGGGCCGCGGCGCAGGGCCCCACCCGCTACCTCCCGGCCTCCCGAACCCCTCATCTCCCCACCTCTCTGCCTCTTAGCGTCATAGGAGGCTCTGCTGCCTGCAGGGCAGAGAGGAAAGGGAGGAGGCCAGAGAAAGGGAGCCTGTGGCCGGGCGTGGGTGGGAAGCAGGAAACGCAGGCGACCCGAGAAGGACGGTGAATCTGACTGGCCAGAACGGGAAGTAGGCGAAGGGAAAGAAGCGATCCTGGGAAGGTGCGGTGGGACCTGCAGAAGAGAAGCAGAAAAGGAAGGAAGAGAAGGGGAGAGGCTGGCGGAGAGGAAGCAGAAAAAGGGGAGGTGGGACAAATAAAGAGAAATGAGCTGGAGGAGAGGAAGGCGTGGGGCCCTGAAGGGGCGCGAATTCTTTTCCCAGGTCCAGCTCTTCCAGGGCCTAGGGTCCATCTAGATACCTGCGGAGGAGAGGCCACACTCGCCGCTTTTGCTCGCAGCAGTCTATTCTGCGAGGGAATTCCCTGGCACACAAAGATTCCGGGGCTCTAAGGGACCCTGAAGAGTATCTGACCCTGCTCCTTCTTTCAGCAATGAAGAAACTTGGGGTGGGAAGGCTGTTCATGCTGGGTTTTCCCTGGGAGTGAGACCTCAAGACAGTTTTGGCAGTTCCTGATACAAACACAAGCTAAATAAACCAGGTCCTCTGTGGCAAGGGCTAATGCTTCCAGAAACTTCTGAACAGATCATTCTATTTGACAAATAGTTAGAAAATGCCCGCTGTTACCAAACGCTGCGCTAGATGGTGGTAAGAGAAAGATGATTAGAATAGAATCTTGGGCTTCTTAATGCTTATAAATAAGTGGGTGAAATTGGTCATAATTAACTTTGACGTATGGTGGTGGTGGTGAGTGATCAGGTAGAGGTTTGCCCAGAGTGCTATAGGAGCCAGCAGCTTAGAGATCCAGGAAGGATTCTTGGAGGAAGTGACCCTAGGTGTGGCAAGGGTTTCTCAGAAAGGGAGGGCAACATGAACAAAGGCTCAGAGACATTAATCAGCATCGATGGAATCATTCATTCATGTTTACAATAATCATATGTAAAACACCCACTAGGTGCAAAGTAATGTACCAGAATCTATGCAGGCCACATTTAGCATAGATAATAAGTTATCATTTCTATAATCAAGTTGATTCCAATCTCGTAGAGTAGATACGACATGCACATGAACTGGCAAAACACAAGTCAAGATTTCTGTAAGAGCTCTTCAAGCCAAGTGCCATAGAGTTCAGGGGAGGGAGAGGTTTCATTTGACTGTTTTGATCTGATGAGTTCTGATAGAGGTGTTATTCAAGTTGGGCCGTGAAGAAGGGGAAATATTTCAACAGGTAGGCAGAACAGGGGGCCAGAGATGAGAAAGATATATCAGGCAGCAGGGAAAAAGTTAAGCAATGGAAAAATAACACTTGGTTTAAATTAATTTGACAGGGAAATGACCCTTTTTCTTTTCTTTTCTTTCTTTCTTTTTTCTTTTTCTTTCTCTCTCTCTTTTTCTTTCTTTCTTTCTTTCTTTCTTTTTTTTTTTGAGACAGGGTCTTACTCTGTCATCCAGGCTGGGCTGGAGTTCACTGGCAGGATCATGGCTTACTGCATACTTGACCTCCTGGGATCAAGCAATCCTCTAGTCTCAACTTCTTGAGTAGGTGAGATTACAGATGCATACCACCATGCCCGGCAAAGGAAATGAGAATGACTTGTCCTTTCCTCTTGTATTGGAATGGGATGAGAAGGAGGCAGGGTTATGGGTGCTCTTTGCATGTTTGTTGTGCTGTTCTGCTCTTCACACGCATGTCCGTCAGGCACTCTGCCAACTTTCCATTCTCCCAGGGTAGGCATATTTATGGGTATCATGAGCCCAGTGAGCTGCGCCACCCCTCACCAAGTGGTGCCAGACTTGAATAACCTTATGAGAAGGAAGCTGTGCTCTGCAAATACATTGGTTTATCTGTATTTGTGATGTGTTTTTACTTTGCTTTTCTTCCATTTATCTTCATAGCGAACTTTCTCTGCTGATTATTTCTTTTACTGTGCCCAAGCTTTTTAGTTTAATTAAGTCCATCTGTTTATCTTTGTTGCATTTGCTTTTAGGTTCTTGGTCATAAACTCTTTGCCTAATGTCTAGAGAAGAGTTTTTCCGATGTTATCTGTTAGAATTTTTATGATTTCAGGACTTAGATTTAAGTATTTGATTCACCTTGAATTGATTTTTGTATAAGGTGAGAGACGAGGATGCAGATTCATTCTTCTACATGTGGCTAGCCAATTATCCCAGCACCATTTGTTGAACAGAGTGTCCTTTCCCCACTTTATATTTTTGTTTGCTTTGTCAAAGATCAGTTGGATGTAAGTATTTGGCTTTATTTCTGGGTTCTCTATTCTGTTCCATTGGTCCCTGTGCCTATTTTTATACCAGTACCTTGCTGTTTTTGTGACTATAGCTTGGTAGTTTAGTTTGAAATCAGGTAATGTGATGCCTCCAGATTTGTTCTTTTTGCTTAGTCTTCGTTTGGCTATGTGGGCTCTTTGGTTCCATATGAATTTAAGGGATTTTTTTTGAGTTTTATGAAGACGGATAATGGTAGTTTGATGGGAATTGCATTGAATTTGTAGATTGCTTTTGGCAGTAGGGTCACTTTCATAATATCGATTCTATCCATCCGTGAGCATGGAGTGTGTTTTCATTTGTTTGTGTCATCTATGATTTCTTTCAGCATCGTTTTGTAGTTTTCCTTGTACATATTTTCACCTCCTCGGTTAGGTATATTTCTAAGTATTTCATTTTACTTTTTGCACTTATTGTAAAAGAGATTGTGTTATTGTTTCAATCCTCAGCTTGGTTGCTGTTGGTGTATAGCAGTGCTACTGATTTGTGTACATCGATTTTGTATTCTGAAACTACTGAATTCATTTATCAGATCCGGGAGCTTTTTGGAGGAGTGCTTAGGGTGTTCCAGGTGTACAATCATATCATCGGCAAAGAGCAGCAGTTTCACTTCCTCATTACCTAGTTAGATGCCCTTTCTTTCTTTCTCTTGTTTGTTTGCTCTGGCCGGGACCTCCAGGACTATGTTGAATAGAAGTGGTGAAAGGGGGCACTTCTGTTGTTCCATTTCTCAGGGGGAATGCTTTCAGTTTTCCCCCTTCAGTATAATGTTGGTTGTGGGTTTGTCTATGGATAGCTTTTATTATCTTAAGGCATGTTTTTTCTATGTCGATTTTGCTGAGGGCTTTAATCATAAAGGGATGCTGGATCTTGTCCAATGGTTTTTCGGTATCTATTGAGATGATAATGTGATTTTTGTTTTTAATTCTGTTTATGTGGTGTCATTTATTGACTTATGGATGTTAAACCATCCCTCTATCCCTGGTATGAAACCCACTTGATCATGGTGGATCGTCTTTTTCATGTGCTGTTGGATTTGGTTAGCTAGTATTTTGTTGAGGATTTTTGTATCTATGTTCATCAGCGACATTGGTCTGATAGTTTTCTTTTTTTGTTAAGTTCTTTCCTGGTTTGGCTATTAAGGTGATACTGGCTTCATGGAATGATTTAAGGAGGATTTCCTCATTCTCTGTCTTTTGGAATAGTTTCAGTAGAATTGGTGAGAATTCTTCTTTGAATGTCTGATATAATTTAGTTGTGAATTCATCTGGTCCTGGACTTTCTTTTGTTGGCAATTTTTAAATTACAGTTTCAATTTCACTGCTTGTTATTAGTCTGTTCAGGGTTTCTGCTTCTTTCTGGTTTAATCTAGTTTGTATGTTTGTAAGTTTGTATGTTTCCAGGAATTTATCTTTCTCCTCTAGGTTTTCTAGTTTATGCTTGTAAAGGTGTTCATAGTAGCTTTGAGTGATCTTTTGTATTTCTATGTCATTAGCTGTAATATCTCTTGTTTCATTTCTAACTGAGCTTATTTGGATCTTCTCCTTTTTTTCCTTGGTTAATCTCACTAATGATGACCAGGATGGTCTCGATCTCTTGACCTCATGATCCACCCACCTGAGCCTCCCAAAGTGCTGGGATTACAGGCGTGAGCCACCACGCCTGGACTTCCTTTTTTTTAATTAAAAAAAAATTTTTTTTTTGAGACAATCTCACTCTGTTGCCCAGGATGGAGTACAGTGGCATGATCATGACTCACTGCAGCCTTGATCTCCCAGGCTTAAGTGATCATCCCACCTCAGCCTCCCAAGTAGCTGAGACTACAGCTGCATGCCACCATGCCCAGCTAATTTTTAATTTTTTTTGTAGGGATGGGGTCTCCCCCTATATTGTCCAGGATGGTCTCAAACTCCTGGGCTCAAGCAATTCTCCTGCCTTGGCTTCCGAAGTGTTGAGATTACAGATGTGAGCCCCTGTGTCTGGCCCTGACTTCTTTCAGATTGAGTATTTTTTGGCATTCCATTTCATCTTCACGATTGACTTATTGACACTACCTGTTTGTTTATTTATTTAGCTGTGCTCTAGGGTTTATAGTATTTGTTATTAACTTCTCACTGTCCACTTTCTTTCTTTTTTTTTTGAGACAGAGTTTCACTTTTGTTACCCAGGCTGGAGTGCAATGGTGCGATCTCGGCTCACCACAACCTCTGCCTCCTGGGTTCAAGCAATTCTCCTGCCTCAGCCTCCTGAGTAGCTGGGACTACAGGCGTGTGCCACCATGCCCAGCTAGTTTTTGTATTTTTAGTAGAGACAGGGTTTCACCATGTTGACCAGGATGGTCTCGATCTCTTGACCTTGTGATCCACCCACCTCGGCCTCCCAAAATGCTGGGATTACAGGCGTGAGCCACCGCGCCTGGCCTCTCACTGTCCACTTTCAAATAATACATAATATTTCACATATAATGTAAAAACCTTCCCACAGTTTATTTCCATCCCCTTCTCCTCTATGCTGTTATTGTCACAGATTTACTTCTAAATATGAGTTCAACAATGCATTGCTTTCATTTTTTTATTAGAGCCAAATATATTTT